CGCCACCCAATCTGTTCCATCAGCTCATTAGCGCAAGTAGATATACAATCAGCTTTCCATAAATTATGTAATTATGGTTTTAAAATTACTTATTTCTATCCTTAACTCTCTAAAGAATGCTAACACACGTCTTTAGAAAAATGTTTTATGACTTTTCTGAGACAATTTTGATGCTTTTTAGATTTTCTCCATCAAACAGCTTCTCTGACGTCATCATGGATCACGATCAGAGCAGTAAATCTGATTAAACCATCTTTATCTGCATTTTAGTTGTTTCTTTCTTTAGATTACACGCTATATAGCATAATGTTAACATGGAAGGAAAACATAAAAGACTAGATTTATGTTTAAATCCAAAGCCGATAAAGTTAGCTCCAGGAAGTAGCGTAGCATCCCATTTCCTGTACAGATCGGGAACAGAGGATAAAACAAAGGATTTTAAGGCTTTTATTTTCTCAGGAAATACATTATTAACCTTTAACACGTTATAGTTTAGTACGTTTACTATTTTCAAGGAGGGAAAATTTTTATTTAGGTCTTTTATACAAAGTAAAATGCAGGGCGACCCGGATGTATATCTGGATGATGATGAGCTGATGGGACGGATCGGGGAGTAACATTGCTACCCGATCCGTCCCGGAAGCAGAATCCGTCCTGCACGCGCTCCAACAGAATAACTTCCGGGTACGCAGTACTTCGTTTTTCTTTTCCTTTTTCCGGCGGGGGATTCCCTTTAAATGTATTTGTGTTTGCGTAAATATTGCATATTCTAAAAGCTAAAAAAGCGAAATACCTAAATATCCTTTGGAACGTTACTGTGACGCTCTGAGCGTGTCCGATGATGACATCACGCAGTACAACGGAGAGAATGGAAAACATTTCCATTACTTCCAGCAAAGTCTTCAATATTTTCTATACGATGTAGTTTAGCATTCTTCAATGTTTTAAGTATATAAATAAGTATTTTTTCAGTATGGTTATTACGTAGTTTTTCTGCGTTCAGGATCGTATTATTCTGTTAGCGCGTTCGCAGGAAGGATCGTGCATCCGGAACGGATCGGGTAGCGACAAGCGACACGACCTTCATGAATAGTGGAACAAAACTTCTTCATGTTTCCTTCAGGGGTTTAAGCAGGCAGTTACAGGTCTACCGCCCCCTGGTGGCTAAACACTACACACAGTTTCCTGAGGAGCTACTTTATTTATATCATTATTATTTATATCATTATTTCCTATAGAATTAGTTTAACACAATTATCATGTTTTAAATAAACATAAATGAAGTATAAAAAGTTAATTTAATATAAATATAAATGATCACCCAATATAAATATTATTTTTAGATAAACATGCTTTGATTATTTTTTAACATGCCAAAAGTTTTTCTCATTTATTTATTAATATATTTTAAATCCAGATTCTTTTGCATATTGTACTAAATCCCAAAGTAATTGATTATGTTTTAAAAAACAGATTTATAAAAGTTATCATGGATGCAGAAAAAATATTTGAAATGAATATAAACCAATATTTATTTATAGTTATTTAAATGTATGTGAATTTTTATTTTATTTTATTGCAAAAAAAGGAAAACTGACATTAGAAATTTTAATCTAAATCAATAGTTGCTTTTGGTGAATTAATTTTATTTTGAGCTGAGGTGAACGGGGCCCCCAGGGGACGTTTGGCTCTAACAGACCTTGATGTCCGCAGCCAAGTCCCGCCTGACGGACGTCAGCCTGGCCGACGCCATGATCGGGAAGGCTGTGGAGCACATGTTCGAGACGGAGGAGGGTCCGAAGGAGGAGTGGAGGGGCATGGTTCTGGCCCGGGCCCCCATCATGACCACCTGGTTCTACATCACCTACGAGAAGGACCCGGTTCTATACATGTACCAGCTGCTGGACGACTACAAGGAGGGAGACCTGCGCATCATGCCCGACTCCAGTGAGTTCGCTCGTATTCGCCGCTGTTCCAGTTAACGGCTAGCAGGCTAACGTCTGGTTTCCGTCTGCAGACGACAGCGTCCCGGCGGAGAGGGAGCCCGGCGAGGTGGTGGACAGCTTGGTGGGCAAACAGGTGGAGTACGCCAAAGAGGACGGCGGCAAACGAACAGGCATGGTCATCCACCAGGTGGAGGCCAAGCCGTCCGTCTACTTCATCAAGTTCGACGACGACTTCCTCATTTACGTCTACGACCTGGTCAAGACTTCCTAAAGACTGCGCACGTCCCGACAGCGCCGCGACGCAGCGGAAAAGAAAAAACTGCAGCTGACGTCGATGCGTCTGAAGCATTTAACCCAGCACACGTTCCTCCGACCATCCCCGACACAAACGCTCAGATTCTTCCCGACGGGAACGGGACGGTTTGAAGGCGGAGCCGCCTGAAGCCCTCAGGAGGAAACGATCACGTCACCCAGGTTCATCTTTAATTGGTTTATTGCTGTTAGGCCGGAATACCTTCCAGGATCATCAGAAGGATTCTCAAATCATTTCTTTTAAATATTAGCGAAGGCGTTCAGTCAGATGGAAAATCGCAATTTTCCCACCCGAATAGTTGGATAAACCGATTTGGTCGATTGTAGCTGACTTCTAAAACATCAAGATCCTGGAGCATTTCCGGAGAAAACGTTTGAAACTCCAGAGAGAAAATGAGCAGAAAAAATGTAGCTAGAGGCTGCCGAGGGGCGGAGCCTGATTTAAAAAAAAAATCCCTGATCACATAAAGAGAAGAAGAAGAAGCAGCACAGACTGGATCCCCGACATGAAGGAGGAGTTTTACTGTTTTTAACGCAGCTTTTACGATCACCTCTAATCAGGACAGAAATATGGAAGCCCATTTCTACCAGAAACAAAACTGAAAAAAAAAAAAATCTTACTATGGGTCAGTATTATTACATAGGAAAAAAAATGTCAGAAAATATTACGTAAGCAAACATTTGTCCTTCTTTTCAAAGTTGAAAAATTGCAACGAAATTGGAAAGAAATGTAAACTTTTGGCGAATATGGCTTGTTGTGTAAATTTAGCTTTTTTTAAAAGTTATTTTTATGATTGAATGACATGATTTAGGCTCCTGTGACGCATGGATAAAGAACCAGAAGCTGAGCGGGAAAAAACATCTGTAAACATCTGCCTCCACACTTAGCGACGGCCCTGCTAGCAGCGCCGCGTCGTACCGGATTCAAAATGGCTCCCAGTAGCTGCGATGCTGTTCCGACCCGTTCTCCGTTTTCTGGGGAAGGCCTCCACATTTCTATTTTCTTTCCTTAACCAACGCTCCTTTGGAAAGCGGCCCACAGCATCACAGATCTTCCTCCAAGCTTCACCCTGAGGTTTAGTTTTTTTTCATACCAGACCCACCTGGAGGTTTTATTGGAGAAACGCTCAGCTTACAGGAAGTTGACCAGTTAAGGTCCCAGGAGTATCAGTTACGATGGAAGAGAAAACACTCCCTAAGCCTTAATTTAAAGGCCCCCGCCGCACCTTTACCAGGGATGCCATCAACTGTGGAGGATCCTGAGTGGGTGTGGAACAGCAGCTGGTGGAAGAGAGAAACATCCAGACGTTGTACAGATAAAACCAGACAAACGTTTTCCATCACATGACGCGCTACCTACTCAAGCTCAGTGTCACAAGTATTCAGCTTCAGAAAAAAGTCAACAACTTCCTGTCTTGAAGACGTCTGCAGGTAAAAACTGTGAAGAAAAACGTGGCTTTTTGTTTTTATTTTTTATCTTTGCTTTTGATTGATGCCAAAAAAAAAACAAAGTCTCCTTCTTGTTGTGGATTTGTTTGATGTTCAAAATGATGGGACAGCTTTTTTCTTGTGATTTCACTCAAGCCTTTAAATTTAATGGTGTTTGTCTTTTCTAAGTCGTCGATGAAGGATCATAGGGTTGAGAAAGGAGGCCGGGAATTTGCCTGTTTGCCGTCTTTCCGTAGTTTATTTCAGCTCCCCTGGTTACTGAGGGCCGTTTAGAAGAAAAGATGGAAGATCGTTAGTGAGGCCGACTGGCGTGGAGCTTCAGAGATCCACCAGAGGAGGAAAGGAGGAGAACATCCACGTTGTTTCTGGAACATTTTGGGCTTCAGAAGTCACCGGAAATTCAAAATAAAGACAAACGAGCATCAGAGCTAAAAGCAGTCGACACTTCCTGTTTAAGACGTTTAACGTTGGAAGTCGCATCATGGTTCCGTCCCTGGTTTTGTTTTTTTTGGCTCTAAAAGTGCGTTTTTTTTTTTTTTTTGATCGGCCAAAAGATCAAATTTGACGACTAAAGGAGTGTAAACCTCAGATGTTCATTAGGCTCTTATTTGAAGCATGTAAAGAGGAAGAACAAGGTTCTCGGTAAACAAAAGAAATTAACGGCCATTAAAGGTTTAGATTTTTTTTCCCACTAATGTGCTTCTGGGTTATTTTAATAATTTAGTCCAGACTGAAGGTTTTCCATAAACATGTTTTCTGTTCCGATTGAAATCTTTTAATTTTAAGGTGATATTTTTGCATCTTTCCACCAAGTAGAATATAGGGATATCCCAATCTCACAGTAACATTTATTTAAAAAAAATATATAATTTTTTTTTCTATGAATATTTAAATATAAAGGTATATGAAAACATAGATGCAAATAGCAAACAGGAGCATCATCACATCCCTGAAGCATAACATAATGGAAGAAAATAGAAGAAACATCTATGGAACTTTTAACTTTTCCCATATTAATGTTATTTTCCATAAGAAACTAATTGCTTTTAAATACAGTATTTCTTTCTCTTTAATGTTTAAAACATTCAAGCATTTAGCATCACGGTTACAAAAAGCTGCGGAGAAACGAGCTCTTCGTCCTGCTAATTGGTGGCAATTTAAAAATTAAGCAGTAACTGCAAATGTTTTAGTTTAATGAGTATTTAGCATATGCTAACAAGCTTTTTACTTAGCAAATGTATGTTGGTAATTAGCATGTATTAAATGTTGCTTTGTTCTGTGATTTTCATTGCTTATCTGAAAAAAATCTAAACTTTCCAAATGTTTTATTTATTCAGGTTAACTGATGGAATTAGGGAAAAAAATGAAATATATTAGATTATTAAAATTGTTTTGGTTTTAGCTCTTGGAACTTAGAAATAGCTAAAATGACTAGCTACAAGCTAACTTAAGCTAATTAGCCACATGCTAACTATCAGCTTTGCCTTGAGAGGATGGAGCTTTGAGTCATACAGTTTAAACCAAATCAGAACATTTTAAAACAATGAGTTGTATTAAACACAAATTAGCATTTTGCAAGTTAGCTTAGTGGTTCTCTCAGTGCTACTTCAGCTTTACGCGGCTTAATATATAATCAGAGCTTTAGTGTTTTTAAGTGTTAAAAATATCCTCCTTGAGGTTAATTATATTTCTTTATTTAGAATCATGTTCAGATCACTCTCAGCAGACATTAGTTATTGGTTGATTCTGTAATAAAACAAACATGATGTAGATTTAGAGTATCGTGTAGCTGTTAGCCACATGCTAACAGCTGTTAGCATGTGGCT